GCATGTGGTGCTGGGGGATTGAACCGCGGTCCCTGTGCTTTGCTAAGCTTGTTCTAAGTAGGTGCTTTAGACCACTGAGCCATTTCACCAGCCCGATTTTGTGTTCTTGATGATTGAGTCAGCATTAGTATTTTTTAACCACCCTATGTTAACGAGAGAGAAATTTTATTTCTAGCATCTAGCATTTCTTTGGCTTATGTTGACTGTGGCTTTCGGATTGTGTGTGTTCCTGTTTCAGCTCGGAGAACAGCCATCTCTGGAAGAAGCCATCAGGATAGCATCTAGGATCCAACAAGGAGAAACGCCAGGGCTGGACGATTAAGCCTCAGAACAGTGGAGCATTAAAGTGGAGGAACCTTTGGTCTGGCCACAGAAATCTCTGATGCCCAGGCCCAGGGAAACCAGAAGTTTTCCGTTCCTGATACACTGTACACATTTTTATGCAAGGGTGAAAAACATTTTATTCTTGACACTTTTGTGTATTTGACCCTTGGATAGATTATCAAACTGATTTATTGTGTACAAGGAAGTATGAAATTAGGGCAATACAGTAAATTTTCATGTTACCGTTTTATCAGATTGCAAACTCCTAGAGACTACTTGCAAGACCAGTGAAGTCTTTACAGATTCTTATTATGGATTTTTTAACTTACTGTGAAAGAATAAAGGCTGTATCTAAAATGTTGAAGGTTCTACATGTCAAACAATCATAATTCCAAAAGCCATCATGGACAGTAAAGGATATAAAGCCTTCAGATATTCCCCCATTGGTAGCGTCTTCAGTTTTTCTTCTACTGTGTACTTGCCCGTTTTTATTTGTATCTCATGGTTTGAAGACTGTTTATAGTTTCTTTGTTATATACCAGCTTCTTAAGCTGAAATGCTAACTCTATTAGCATTACATTGGATTATGTATAAAATTACAAAGTTTTGTTATTTAAAATTAAAATGTTAAATCCAGGGTTTTGTTAAAGATCTCACTGTTTGGTTTTTGTTGCTTTGTTACTGTTTTTTAAAAATAATGAACGATGGCAGTTTGACCACAGGTCAGTGCCCGGGAAAACAGTGCTGTAATGGGAAGTGGCTTTACTCTGAAAATTAGGTTAGTGGGGTTGGTGCAAATTTATTTATTTTTGCTTATGTACTTTTGTTTTAAAGCTTATTTACCCTAAAGTTTATTAATTTTGAATACAGCTACTTTTAAAATGTTATCTTTATATTTGTTTTATTAAATCAGCAAGGGGTGGGAGGGAACTGGGTGGGAAGGAACTGGGCAAAGTGCCTGGTGTGGGAGGACAGATCACCACCCGCGGCGCCCTGGCTGTAGGACATGCTTTGCCCTCCGCTGTTGCTTTCCAGGTGGCCCCGGCAGTCCTCCACTGAGACTTTTCACTAGGCTTTGCGTCTAGGAAAGGCTGGGCAAGGCTCAGGCTTTCTGACGCCAAGCTGTTCTTTTGCTGGCCAAGCTGTTCTTTTGCTGTTCCCCTCCCCTCACCCCCAGCCAAAAAAAAAAAAAAAATTGCAAAGGAAGCACTAGATGGGCCTGCCCATTAGCTCAGTTCTTTTTTTTTTGTTTTACGGAACCAGGGATTGAACTCAGGCCCTTGCGCTTGCCAGGGAAGCGCATATTCCACTGAGCCATCTCCCCAGCCCCCTCAGTTCTTTTAAGTACCCTGGCCCCCTCAGTTCTTTTAAGTACCCGCTTAAACAAAGCAGTGAGGCTCGGGGTGCTGTGGTTC